ATCCTGTCTTGTCAATGTTTCTTCAATTCATATCACTACATGCCGATATTGTTTTTTTTTCTATCAGAAAAATAGATTGAATGTATTGATTTTTCCATTGAGATGAACATTTGTTAGTTATATATGAACTTGTGATATACGTATGAGTGGGGTAAGGGTGTGGTAGGTTTGAAGCAGTTCATGTTGAAATACATGAACATTTGTGATGACTGGGGTAAGGGTGTGGTATGGTTGAAGCAGTTCATGTTGAAATACATGAACATTTGTCACTGATAGTTGCGGTGTATTCTGTATTCTCCATTGTTGTAAAGGTGTGCTAAGTGTCGTGTAATTGAGTCTGGATATTTCTGCCTTGGAGCTAGAGTCTATAGATTGTGTTCGTCTGTCTGATTTCTGTCTGTCTATTTATAATGGCCTTATCACTTTGTCTGGCTATTTATTGAGTGCCTCATCACTTTGGCTATTTATGAGTGTCTATTTATTTTGTCTGGCTATCTATGAGGACCATCGTTTTGTCTGTCTATTTATGAGTGCCTGGTCATTTTTGTCTGGCTGTTTCTGTTTTACTATTCCACAACGTCTCATGTATTTTGTTAAAGCTATTTCCCCCTTTTTTTTCCCGATGTTGTTTATTGTGCCATATGATTCATTCCGCTTATATATTCAACAGTTTATTATTCTGTTTTCTTCGCTACTGACCCCTTTAAAAAAAGCTGATATAAACAGTGTGCTATTTTTAGATTTAAAACTTCACGTCCAAATACACTTTTTGCGCCAACAAATTATTTTTAAAAAATTACACAGACGGCTGAGTACTATAATAAACTGTCAATTTAAAAAAATACTTGTCAAAAAAAAAAAACATCGCTATGTAATTAACATGCGAATTATGTACGCAATTTATAATTATTTTATTTAAAAATTTGGCCAAAATTTAGTAAAGAAAGCTTCTAGTAAAGAAAAATACTTGAAAGTGGAAGTGTTATTTTTTTCTTCTAATTTTTTTTGCAACTCCTGATAGTCAATATTTACATATGAACATGAATGAAGCTTTTAATAGATCTACCCAGCTCTTTCTAATTTTGTGGCATTAATAAATATACATGAATCTAATGTCTCCGATAGTTTTATTTTATGGTCTGTTTACACGCTTTTAATTATCCTCAGCGCGTGCTAATCACCAAGTTATCTCGCTTGAGACAAATTGGCCAGATTTCTCTCGCAGCTCAGGGTAGATTATTTTTAATACATCATAAACCCCGGATGTTAGACAACATTCGTGGCTTATGAAGTCATTTTTTCCCCACGACGTGCATGCATGTGTTGTTAGAGATAATGGTGGTATTATGTGTTTATGTGCCTTGTGAATCGTGCAACTACTTCTCCACGAGTTAGTTATACCACTAACTGCGTGATATATATATATATATATATATATATATATATATATATATATATATATATATATATATATATATATATATATATATATATATATATATATATTTACATTTTGCTGTGGTTGTCTGAATGGAGCTGTGTTGTAAATATTTTCAGGAAAATTGGATTATGTTTTTTAATGCTTGAATAGCGCAACGTCCTTTAATAAAATGAAAATCAATAATAAAATCAATATTTTGAATTGAAGATTTTTTTATTTTTAATATTATATTGAAGGAAATAGTCTATTTGAGGAGGTATTTTTAAAATGTACTTTAGTGCTACATTTCAGTATATAGTCGTGTATATATATATATATATATATATATATATATATATATATATATATATATATATATATACACATACATTCTCGGGTATATATATATTATGTTTTTATTTGATTGTGTGATTGTTTGTAGTGGGCGATGAAGGTAACTAGTTGTAGCGAAGGGGGGGGGCGTTGTGGTGTGTTTGGATGAGGTGTGCAGATGGGCTGGCTACATTTACGTTAAGTTATGCATCACATGACCGTCGACAACCTCACCCAACCTGCTCTTAGTGCTACAAGAACACACCCCATCAATATCTAGCTCACACTAAGTACCTGCACGCTGATATCACTCATCGATTACCTATGAGCCCGATCCTCTTCGCCGGCAGAGCACCACTAGGTACAGTAGGAAATGTCAAGGCATTTTTTTTTTGTTTTCTTCCCTAAGGGCAAGTTTGTAATCAATACATACGAACTAAACACAATCCTGATTGTATTGTAGTCCCAGGGAGGGGTGTGATCGGCTTACCGTAGCTTTTTGTTACCGAGTTTTCTGTTTCGTCTGTTTCTTATTTTACTTTTATTTGTACAATGCATTAAACCAGAGGTCGGCAACTCGCGAGCCGCATGCGGCTCTTTTGACGTCCAGATGCGGCTCTCCAGCTCCTTGCACAAATATTAATAGTTATATAATTTCATTTTTACTGGACGGTGGGGTACGAGTTTACCCTGCGTTCAGTGGGATGGAAGATAAGCCTGGTGAGAACTAAGGGATAGAAGCGGAAGATGCAAGTTATTCAAACCGATATCCAAGCCAGTTAGTCGGCGTTTGCCGTGTTGAGGCCTGACTGGCTAATGGGAGACACCTCCTGAGTCGGTGATAAACGTAAAGAAAAAAATAAAAATTAGCAGCTTCTAAAGTGGATAGAGATAGTCCTAGTCTTGTGATTATTAATTTTACTATTCTGGCGAAACATGTCTGTTTTTATATGAATAAATATTATTTCATATTTACAGCTATTTATTTTAAATAACAAATTAACTTTATTTATCAAATACCGAATATTGAGCTAGAAATATTGTGGCTCTTTAAAAACTTTGAAAGTTTGTAAATTGTAACTTTTCGCTCTTGCATATCAAAGGGTTGCCGACGGGTTGCTGTGAGATTAGTTAATAATTGTATTTTTGCATTGATAAATGTAGGTATCTCTTAAATATTACTTGGTTTTGAAGAGGTTGGGCGACATTCTCATTTTAAATTTTAAACATAAAAACTATTTTCAAATGTGTGAATTTATCACCATGGACCGTGACAACATTGAATTCCATTGTCTTCACTTGTATAAATATTTTCTCTCGCTTAAATCACACCACATTCAATCTTTTCGTGGTTAAATTGTCTCCATTGGAATTCTCTCCCCTGAATCAGACAGTCTCGGGAAAGAAAAAAAAATAGTCTGGCAAAGTTTGTAGCATTTCTCTTGACAGACATGACCTTTCTCAACTTGTCGTCGTTTAAAAACCTGTCAATCACAGCCGTCCTGATCGATCGTATTGCTTATTTATTTCTCATTCGTGTCGTCGGTCTTGCATAATAGAAATAATTGTAGTGATGTGTGTGTCAGAGGATGAAAATTGTTGGTAAACATATTTGCTTGGCCAGTACAATGTTTCATTAACATTATATATCTATTACATTTTTTAAATTCTTTGAAAAAGCTTAGATGTAATACAAAATGCAATCAAGTAATTTTAAAATGCTAAATGCTATCAAGAAATAAAAGTTATATTCGCTGTAGAAACATCTCATCATTTGCTATGTATTCGTGTTTATATATTTTCTGAAAACTTCTAATCGCAGATTGTCTGTATTTTGTTTAACCTTTTTGTCTGATTAAATGTCTATCACTCAGCATAAACTATAGCTAGTACAGTTAATCAACATTTGGTACTTTTCTTTTACTCATACATAATCACAAGTATATATCGAAGATCATATATACCCTTTTGTGCCTTTCTTTTCTATTAGTGAAATCGTGATATTCGCCATTTATCTATGCCTGTTCTTTTTCTTAATAAACACATTATATAGAGACAATCAGTTTTAATTTTTTATTTTATTTTTTATTTTTTAAACAGTACCTTAAACAATATCGCAACATTAAAGTGTTATGCCGCTACATTCCCTACAAATTAAAATCATGCACAAGTTATACACAACATTCCGTATTGACGAATCCCTTCACCAAATGTAAATAAGTCTGTTCTCGGATGTATGTACCAATAACTTGATTAAAGTGACCTCTGCCCTTTTGCCTGTTCATGACCCGCCATCTCCTCTATAGAAGACTCCCTTGTAGTTAAGTTCAATAGTATCTTGCCAAAATGCAAATGTGAAGCATAGAAAATATTCATGTGTTGAGGCCGGCGGTGACTAGAATGGCGTAATAATTTCAAATGGTCGGGAACATTTACTTTACTCCCTGCCAAGTCGGGCTAGTTGATCCATGGTTTTTATACTAGAGCTAGGCTGAAAGAAGTCTGGCATGTTAAGTTGTATAGTATGGCTGTAGTTTGGATGGAAATGCTGAATGATTTGTCTTGGACACAATGTTATTCCACGATAATTTTTTGTTTTTATCATAGAATTGTTTTATTATTATATAGTGGGTGTTGTTTTATATGGGTGATTGCGTAGAATGGGGTTTTAATATGGTGGCTTTTTGTATAGGGTTACTGTCTCTTGTTGGTACCCAGAGCTGAGCGGATTTATTAGTACGTGTGGTCTCTTGCATAGTGTAGATGGTTTCCTTATTATTTCTTCCTTAGTTTGGATGGTTTCCTTATTATTTCTTGCACAGATTGGGTGGTTTCTTGCATATAGTGGGTGGTTTCTTTGTGGTTTCTTGCATACAGTCGGTGGTTTCTTTGTGGTTTCTTGCATGCAGTCGGTGGTTTCTTTGTGGTTTCTTGCATACAGTGAGTGGTTTCTTTGTGGTTTCTTGCATACAGTCGGTGGTTTCTTTGTGGTTTTTTTTACACAGATTGGGTGGTTTCTTCGTGGTTTCTTGCATACAATGGGTTATTTCACTATAGTTTCTCGCATAGACCGGGAGGTTCCGTATGGTATTGAGCTGCTTTCATCTTATTCAATGAAACTCGATTTGTATTAAACACTCGCCCGGTCTTTATCGCCCTTTGTTAATCTTAATAAATGTCATTGTAATATGAATTCATTTTTAATTAACTAAACATGTTTTTTTTAATAAAATGTATTTATTTTCAGCTTCAAGTGCCATTGGTGATATGCAGCGAATGAGAGACGCATATCCTTTTAAAATCATTTTCGTTTACATTTTTAACGCATCGAATTAATGTGTGTTGGCATTTTTTTTTAAAATCATATGCTGTACATTTTACAATCAGATTATTGGAAATATAACACAAAGCATCGCTTTCTATTACATTTGACAATAGAATTAGACGTTGATTATATGTTAGTTTCTAAATGTTATCCGTTACGATAACAATAACAATCCTGGTTTTACCTGTAAAACAGTAAACTTTTCATCTGCAGATGTAGGTGCTAGATATTCAATATTCACTTTAGACAGAAGTTTTTCATAATAGAATTCTAGATTCATCAATATTTTCCAGTAACTATTCAGGTTTTCATAACTTAAAAAAATAATTATATTCCTCATAATTTTCACCAACTTTGTACTTGCATCCTGAAAACTACCAATTTTGTTCTGGGAAACTGTAGATTTAAAATGATTTATAATTTGACTCAATGTCTATAACCACAACCAGGTCTAATTTCCTTAACCCCGGCCACTTGGTCAAGGAAACTAAATTGAAATGATCTTATAATTTGACAAAATGCCTCTCACCAGGTCTAAATTAGAGTTCCTTAACCCCAATCACTTAGCCAAGGAAACTAAATCTAAAATGATCGTATAATTTGACCCAAAGCTTATAACCAGGTCTAAGTTAGAGTTCCTTAACCCCGAGCACTTGGTTGCTGGAACTCTTCCAGTCGGCGTCCCCTGACGACGGTACCCTGGAGGAGAATCGTGTGGTCAGTCTCATGCAGCGGATCAACACCACCATCACAACCTCCGTCATCTGCCAGAAACTTAAGGTATGTCCGCACATTTCTAACACCAGCATTACAACCTCCGTCATCTGCCAGAAACTTAAGGTATGTCCGCACATTTCTAACACCACCATCACAACCTCCGTCATCTGCCAGAAACTTAAGGTATGTCCGCACATTTCTAACACCCGCACATTTCTAACACCACCATCACAACCTCCGTCATCTGCCAGAAACTCAAGGTATGTCCGCACATTTCTAACACCCGCACATTTCTAACACCACCATCACAACCTCCGTCATCTGCCAGAAACTCAAGGTATGTCCGCACATTTCTAACACCCGCACATTTCTAACACCACCATCACAACCTCCGTCACCTGCCAGAAACTCAAGGTATGTCCGCACATTTCTAACACCCGCACATTTCTAACACCACCATCACAACCTCCGTCACCTGCCAGAAACTCAAGGTATGTCCGCACATTTCTAACACCCGCACATTTCTAACACCACCATCACAACCTCCGTCATCTGCCAGAAACTCAAGGTATGTCCGCACATTTCTAACACCCGCACATTTCTAACACCACCATCACAACCTCCGTCATCTGCCAGAAACTCAAGGTATGTCCGCACATTTCTAACACCCGCACATTTCTAACACCACCATCACAACCTCCGTCATCTGCCAGAAACTCAAGGTATGTCCGCACATTTCTAACACCACCATCACAACCTCCGTCATCTGCCAGAAACTCAAGGTATGTCCGCACATTTCTAACACCCGCACATTTCTAACACCACCATCACAACCTCCGTCATCTGCCAGAAACTCAAGGTATGTCCGCACATTTCTAACACCACCATCACAACCTCCGTCATCTGCCAGAAACTCAAGGTATGTCCGCACATTTCTAACACCCGCACATTTCTAACACCACCACCACAACCTCCGTCATCTGCCAGAAACTCAAGGTATGTCCGCACATTTCTAACACCCGCACATTTCTAACACCACCATCACAACCTCCGTCATCTGCCAGAAACTCAAGGTATGTCCGCACATTTCTAACACCCGCACATTTCTAACACCACCATCACAACCTCCGTCATCTGCCAGAAACTCAAGGTATGTCCGCACATTTCTAACACCACCATCACAACCTCCGTCATCTGCCAGAAACTCAAGGTACGTCCGCACATTTCTAACACCACCATCAACACCTCCGTCATCTGCCAGAAACTCAAGGTATGTCCGCACATTTCTAACACCACCATCACAACCTCCGTCATCTGCCAGAAACTCAAGGTATGTCCGCACATTTCTAACACCACCATCAACACCTCCGTCATCTGCCAGAAACTCAAGGTATGTCCGCACATTTCTAACACCACCATCAACACCTCCGTCATCTGCCAGAAACTCAAGGTATGTCCGCACATTTCTAACACCACCATCAACACCTCCGTCATCTGCCAGAAACTCAAGGTATGTCCGCACATTTCTAACACCCGCACATTTCTAACACACGCACATTTCTAACACCACCATCACAACCTCCGTCATTTGCCAGAAACTCAAGGTATGTCCGCACATTTCTAACACCACCATCAACACCTCCGTCATCTGCCAGAAACTCAAGGTATGTCCGCACATTTCTAACACCAGCATCACAACCTCCGTCATCTGCCAGAAACTCAAGGTATGTCCGCACATTTCTAACACCACCATCAACACCTCCGTCATCTGCCAGAAACTCAAGGTATGTCCGCACATTTCTAACACCACCATCACAACTTCCGTCATCTGCCAGAAACTCAAGGTATGTCCGCACATTTCTAACACCACCATCACAACCTCCGTCATCTGCCAGAAACTCAAGGTATGTCCGCACATTTCTAACACCCGCACATTTCTAACACCCGCACATTTCTAACACCACCATCACAACCTCCGTCATCTGCCAGAAACTCAAGGTATGTCCGCACATTTCTAACACCACCATCAACACCTCCGTCATCTGCCAGAAACTCAAGGTATGTCCGCACATTTCTAACACCACCATCACAACCTCCGTCATCTGCCAGAAACTCAAGGTATGTCCGCACATTTCTAACACCCGCACATTTCTAACACCCGCACATTTCTAACACCACCATCACAACCTCCGTCATCTGCCAGAAACTCAAGGTATGTCCGCACATTTCTAACACCCGCACATTTCTAACAATCAGAAGTTATAACTCTGTATCATGGTTTAGAATACCAAAGTATAAAATGGCAGTTTTGGATGAAGTAACTATTGCGTGAGTTGTGAGTAACGTATATACATATGTATATATATATATATATATATATATATATATATATATATATATATATATATATATATATATATATACATAAAAACTCTATATATATATAAACTCTAATTTAAGTAGATTGCTATAAATTATTTTCTTAAATTCTTTCTTTTAATACGAACGTTTTGCTTTTGGACATTTGATACAACTAAGATGAAATTTTTCAAAAAGAAATTAGTTTTCTTGTACTTAATGTTGTTGAGGTGACTGACTTCAAACATCTTAACTTTGTAATTCAACCCCCCATCCCCTCCTCACCCTACCCTCAATGCTTTAATTTTCTCAAAATAGCTTGACATTTTCACTTCATCTTACTTGTGTGCCCACCAATAAATTTCACGTCCAGATGTAATGTATGTCCCTGTCTCCACGTCTCTAAGCTGGGTGTGCTAAGTTAAAGATAGCGCTGCATTCTTTTTTTTTTTTTAATTGGATCGATTTAAAGAACGGCACAACTCTATCGGGGGAGACAAAATGGATGCAGTCCCTTTATGCCAAGCACGGAGGCAGAAATTAGGAATTAAAAATGTATACGGAGTGGACCGAGTCACCCTGTGTTTGCTCTGATTGTTTGTTTTTTAATTACATAGCAACCGAATTATGTTGTTTCTTCCACACGTCGTTAAAAGCTAGGGAATTTTTTAATTAATTAGATAATTCATTTTTAAATTGATATCCTTTTTATAAGGATATCCCCGTACAAACTCAAGATATATATATATATATATATATATATATATATATATATATATATATATATATATATGTGTGTGTGTGTGTGTGTGTGTGTGTGTATGCCGCATTTATCCAAATGTAAAGCCCCCATGCGGATCCAGAACGTCTAGTAGCTGACCAATGTATGGGGTAGATAGCTGGCATATGTATGGGGTAGATAACTGACCAATACACCACCGGAAATAGGCAGGAGTTTTCGAATCTCCAGGTTTCTATTGATTGGTCGACCTGACATTTGGTTTACTCGGTCACGTGACACGATGACCATATAAGGGCAGGCGGTCGGGTCAGTCTGTAAGATGGTAGCTGTTGTGGGGGGGGGGGGGGGGGGGAAGGAATCCTTCCATGACGTCCCGAGATCAAAATAACTGGGGCTATGGGAGGGGGTGCGTCCCATAATTTCATGGAGCGTGACCTTTACTGAAAATCCTATGACTATAATATGGAGTGTATCCTTACTTCTATTGACGTCCCATGATAAAAATAACTGGGATTGTATCCTTTGTTGACGTCCCCTGCTTAGAAGAATCACTAAAGGGTTACCCTCATTTGACGTCCCATAGTGAAAAGTAGTGGAATGGTAAGTTTTACCGACGTCCCATGATAAAAAGAATCACCAAGGGGTTACCCTGGTCTGACGTCCAAAGAATCACTAAGGGGTTACCCTCGTCTGACGCCCCATGAAAAAAAGAATCACAAAGGGGTTACCCTGGTCTGACGTTCAAAGAATCACCAAGGGGTTACCCTCGACTGACGTCCAAAGAATCACTAAGGGGTTACCCTCGTCTGACGTCCAAAGAATCACCAAGGGGTTACCCTCGACTGACGTCCAAAGAATCACTAAGGGGTTACCCTCGTCTGACGTCCAAAGAATCACCAAGGGGTTACCCTCGACTGACGTCCAAAGAATCACTAAGGGGTTACCCTCGTCTAACGTCCCATGATAAAAAGAATCACTAAGGGGTTACCCTCGTCTAACGTCCCATGATAAAAAGAATCACTAAGGGGTTACCCTCGTCTGACGTCCCATGATAAAAAGAATCACTAAGGGGTTACCCTCGTCTGACGTCCCATGATAAAAAGAATCACTAAGGGGTTACCCTCGTCTGACGTCCCATGATAAAAAGAATCACTAAGGGGTTACCCTCGTCTGACGTCCCATGATAAAAAGAATCACTAAGGTGTTACCCTCGTCTGACGTCCAAAGAATCACTAAGGTGTTACCCTCGTCTGACGTCCCATGATAAAAAGAATCACTAAGGGGTTACCCTCGTCTGACGTCCAAAGAATCACCAAGGGGTTACCCTCGACTGACGTCCAAAGAATCACCAAGGGGTTACCCTCGTCTGACGTCCCATGATAAAAAGAATCACTAAGGGGTTACCCTCGTCTGACGTCCCATGATAAAAAGAATCACCAAGGGGTTACCCTCGTCTAACGTCCCATGTGACGTGACCGAGAAAAACTCTGGTGACAGGCCAATGTCTGGCTTCACATTAAGAGGATTGGTTTAGGGAGGGGTGGGGGGGGTGATTGTGGCGGGGAATAGTACTTTTTAGTCGGTCTTGTTGAAGGGGACATTTGTTAAGGTCAGAATCAAAGGTCGGGCGGAAGTCTTTAAGACGGGCGACAAAAAAAAAAAAGAAAATCAGTTCGATTTTTTTTTTAAATTATCGTTATTGAGTGGAGGATTGCTTTCTTTTTGTTGGTCAAGTTTAGAATACAGTTTCGTATCTCCGTGTCATTATTGTGTTCTGTTTTTTTTTTTCAGCCTAGTAAAGGTCATGCACGTTTAGAAATGATAGTGTATAGCTCAATGTTATTACGTAACTTGTTTTGTTTTTTGTTTTTGTTTTGAGTTGTAACACTCCTTTCACATACACAACAATACAAAACAGTCGGAAATATTTCACGCTGCAAAATGTCGAATTAGCGAAGATATGTTGACTAAGTTATTGAGAGAAAGTTAACTTTTATTTGTTGACTAAGTAATTGAGAAAAAAATGACTTTTTTTTTGTTTACCAAATTATTGAGAGAAAGTTGACTTTTATTTGTTGACCAAGTTATTGAGAGAAAGTTAACTTTTATTTGTTGACTAAGTAATTGAGAAAAAAATGACTTTTTTTTTGTTTACCAAATTATTGAGAGAAAGTTGACTTTTATTTGTTGACCAAGTTATTGAGAGAAAGTTAACTTTTATTTGTTGACTAAGTAATTGAGAAAAAAATGACTTTTTTTTGTTTACCAAATTATTGAGAGAAAGTTGACTTTTATTTGTTGACCAAGTTATTGAGAGAAAGTTAACTTTTATTTGCTGACAGAGTTTTAGATCAGTGGCTTTTATTTTAATTGTTTTTTTTTCTCATTGCCCATTTTACCAATCAACTGTACGTCTAACTCAATATTAATGTGAGAAGTTCGGTAGAAAAAAAGGTGTATGGGTTAGTTGTTTTTTTTTAACGATTTCACATACCCCTAGGCTATGTACTGATGTTTGATAAGGGTTGGGGGGGGGAGGCAGACGATAGGGTTTAATTTATCACCTTAGTTTTGGGTAACATAGAAAACTGGAGGGGGGAAAAATCGAATAATTCCAAAAAACTTTTTTTTTTAAAGACGTATTGCGAAGGCTTATTACACAGCCATATAAGCATATAGGAAAAGAACAGATTATTTTCCACTCTCTCATATTTCTTAATTAAGTAGATTAATTAGCATGACTATCTTTCAGTGCCTGAGAATTAATTATCTATCTATAATATAAGCGGGCTGTGTCTGTCCTTCCTTCCTTCCTTCCGTCCGTCATCGCTATAGATTTTGGGACTATAAAAGTAAACATTCGCACCATACTGTGCTTTTCAGTGCACCGCAGTGTCTTATTATAAGTAATAGAGTAGGGTTTGTTTATATAGCGACATAGAGCTATTTTATAATTGCCACTGTGTTTACTCTTTTGCATAACTTAAAGAAAATATTAAATACACGCACATTGCTAAAACATATTAAAAGGATCAATGTCCAATATCATTTTCGTTTATATTCCTAGAAAAAGTGGATACATTTTAATAACATAATAACAGTACGGTAGAAAAAATCAAATTAATTTAACTCTTTTCTAACTTTGACAATGGAGGTAATTTAAAAAATACATTAAACTCACGCTAATAAAAAATGTGAATGCAAATATACGTTCGTCATAGAAGGAATTAGTGTTGCAATAATATAATTAGCAAAATGTGAATGCAAATTATGGGGATGTGTAAGAGGAAATTATTGTTAGAAAATTATAATTAGCATGGATTGATAAAAGGCAATCTTTTATTTATTTTATTCACTGAATGTAGGCCCTTCTGTTTATTACTTATAATTTTTAATCAACTATTCAGCACTATTATAGACGCGTCATCACGTTTTAGTTATGAAACTCTATTGTAAATTTTTAAAATTTAAAGTACTGGAAAAAAAATGCGTGAATGGATAAAGTGAAATATTGTAGGTAAAACACGGATATTTTAAATACTGCCTATTATTTATACTGTTTACTAATTATTATTCTATCTTTCGGTTTGAGGACAAGCTAGGGGTTTTATAGGAGAGGCGTAGCGAGGGGAGGGCATATGTCCCCGGGTGCCGACCTTAGGGGGCGCCAAAGTGGGTTGGAAAAAATTTGCGAGGGGGGGGTGGGTGGAAATCGAAAGTTTTAGGGCAGGGGGGGGGGGGAAGGGGTGCAAATCAAAAGTTTGAGGGGGGTGCAAAACACCGGAAAGGGCGCGATTTGGCGCTACGGGCTAGACTGTGAGCAATATGCCTGTATGATTGCATTTAAATTGTGTTTATGTTATGAGTGTTGTGTTTGTTTTTTAGTTTTTTTTTTTTTTTTTTTTTTTTTGCGTTCGTTTGTGTTGTGTTTAGTTTTGTTCTGTTCCCAAGTTCGTACATTTAAAAAAGATTTACCGTGGCGGAGCACGGGATGCAGCTAGTATTATAATATCTAAGCCGGATTCAAATGTCCATAGTCAATTTCACAATTAGGTTCAAATGTCCTTTTTTAAAGACTTAATTAAATTCCAGTTTCTATCAATTTTGGTTTGAGTTATTGTACGTATGTTGTAATGTCCTTTTTTTTCAACTGCTTGTTTTGTAATGTCTAAGGTCGAAGTATTCATGTTGTTAGGTGTAAGATCCAAATATTCATGTTGTAGTGTCTTAGATTTGCATGTCCAATTTGTAACATCTTAAATAGAAATGTCCATGTTGTAACGTCTGTGGTCAAAATGTCCATGTTTAAACCAATTGTCTATATTGTAACCAAATGACCATGTTGCATCAAAATGTCCCTTTCCTAACGTTACATATACATAATAATATGTCCATGGTGTAACCAATCGTCCATATTGTAACCAAATGTCCATACCCTACCTCGTAATTCCAAATGTCAATGTTGTAACCAAATGCCCATAGCCTACCCCGTAATTCCAAATGTCCATGTTGTAACCAAATGCCCATAGCCTACCCCGTAATTCCAAATGTCCATGCTGTAACCAAATGTCCATATTGTAACCAAATGTCCATACCCTACCTCGTAATTCCAAATGTCCATGCCCTACCTCTTAATTCCAAATGCCCATACCCTACCTCTTAATTCCAAATGTCCATGCCCTACCTCTTAATTCCAAATGTCCATGTTGTAACCAAATGTCCATATTGTAACCAAATGTCCATACCCTACCTCTTAATTCCAAATGTCCATGCCCTACCTCTTAATTCCAAATGTCCATGCCCTACCTCTTAATCCCAAATGCCCATGTTGTAACCAAATGTCCATATTGTAACCAAATGTCCATACCCTACCTCTTAATTCCAAATGTCCATGCCCTACCTCTTAATTCCAAATGTCCATGCCCTACCTCTTAATTACAAATGTCCCTGCCCTACTTCTTAATTCCAAATCTCCCTGCCCTACCTCTTAATTCCAAATGTCCCTGCCATAACGCCATATTTGTCTTCCCCTCCCCAGGAGCTGGAGCTGAAGAGAGGAGACGGGAGAAAGGGGAGGCTAAGCAGCGAGGAGTTTATCTCCCTGTTTAAAGAAATCTCTACCCGGCCAGAGATTTATTTCCTCCTTGTCAGGTAAGTCATCGATCTGCCTATGATTTACTCTGCCAATTTCTGAACTGATCGCCTTTAGCGGCCTGAAATCTGCCTCAACGTGAGGTGTTAGCTAGACTGGCATTCAGCATTACACTCGCTAGACTGACATACAACACCACACTTGCTAGACAAGCATACAACACCACATTCGCTAGACTGGCATACAACATCACACTTGATAGACTGACATACACACTCGCTAGACTGACATACACCACCACACTCGCTAGACCGACATACAACACCATTCTTGCTAGGCTGACATACAGCACCACACTCGCTAGACTAACATACAACACCATACTTGCTAGACTGGCATACATCACCATACTCATCAAGAAGAGAAATCGCCAAAGTCTGTTGTGTTGTAGTTTTGTCTTGAATGGACAAAGGTTATGGTAGCAAAATTAAACAGAAAAGCAAAATGAAATCGGAGTTATCGGCTTATATGGTGCACAACACGTAATACTTAATTGTGTTGGAGGAAATCCCGTCCAATACTACAAATTAAGAAGGGAAAAAGAATAAGAGTCGAATAATATTTATACATTATTTTAAAGAATAACACGATATTCTTTCCCTGCGATGAAATGTGTAGACCCCACGCTCAGCATTTCTGTCGACAGCTAAGATAACGTTTGCCAAAAATCTATGGGATGTCATGTTTCAGATTTGTTAGATCCAACGGCAGCGAATTTTTCAAAAGATTTTTTTTTTAAATTTCTTTTCGTTATGTACAAGTGTTAGCGCATCCCTTCAGTTCATCCAAACGATACGCCTTACATAACGCTATGAAACAAATGAACTCAAACTATGGTAGGGTTGGTTTGACCCACTGTGATCAAAACCCCGACCTACTTGCAGCCCGCCCGTGATGAAGTCTCTCCCCAAAACCCCGGCCCTGATGAAGTCGCTCCCCCCCCCCCCAAAAAAAAAATCCCGGCCTACTTGCAGTCCGCCCCTGATGAAGCCCCCCCCCCCACCAAACCCCGGCCCTGATGAAGTCGCCCCCCCCCCCCCCAAAACCCCGGCCTACTTGCAGCCCGCCCTGATGAAGTCCCTCCCCTGATGAAGTCCCCCCCCCTCAAACCCCGACCTACTTGCAGCCCGCCCCTGATGAAGTCCCCCCCCCCAAAACCCCGGCCCTGATGAAGTCGCCCCCCCCCCCCAAAACCCCGGCCTACTTGCAGCCCGCCCTGATGAAGTCCCTCCCCTGATGAAGTCCCCCCCCCCTCAAACCCCGACCTACTTGCAGCCCGCCCCTGATGAAGTCCCCCCCCCCAAAACCCCGGCCCTGATGAAGTCGCCCCCCCCCCAAAACCCCGGCCTACTTGCAGCCCGCCTTGATGAAGTCCCTCCCCTGATGAAGTCCCCCCCCCCCCCTCAAACCCCGACCTACTTGCAGCCCGCCCGTGATGAAGTCCCCCCCCCAAACCCCGACCTACTTGCAGCCCGCCCCCGATGAAGTCCCCCCCCCCCGAAACCACGGCCTACTTGAAGCCCGCCCGCGATGAAGTCCCTCCCTAAAACTCCGCCCCTAATGAAGTCCCTCCCCCCCCCCCACCAAACCCCGACCTACCTGCAGCCCGCCCCTGATGAAGTCCCCCCCCCCCGAACCCCGACCTACCTGCAGCCCGCCCCCGATGAAGTCCCTCCCCAAAACTCCGCCCCTAATGAAGTCCCTCCCCCCCACCAAACCCCGACCTACCTGCAGCCCGCCCCTGATGAAGTCCCTCCCCCCCCCAAACCCCGACCTACCTGCAGCCCGCCCCTGATGAAGTCCCTCCCCAAAACTCCGCCCCTAATGAAGTCCCTCCCCCCCCCCCTCAAACCCCGGCCTACTTGCAGCCCGCCCCTGATGAAGTCCCACCCCAAAACTCCGCCCCTGATGAAGTCCCTCCCCCCCCCCCCCCCACCAAACCCCGGCCTACTTGCAGCCCGCCCCTGATGAAGTCCCACCCCAAAACTCCGCCCCTGATGAAGTCCCTCCCCCCCCCACCAAACCCCGGCCTACTTGCAGCCCGCCCCTGATGAAGTCCCACCCCAAAACTCCGCCCCTGATGAAGTCCCTCCCCCCCCCCACCAAACCCCGGCCTACTTGCAGCCCGCCCCCGATGAAGTCCCTCCCCAGAATCCCAGACACAAATAATGTGCCCTGACATTCCCTTTGAGCTCCGGTATTTATTTGCAATTACAACTGACCAGCGAGCTTCAGTGGTCATCTCCGACTTCCGGATCTCTTTGCCGTCCGGTACCACGTCCGCGCCCAATTAGGAGATTATTATAAATAGCGGGAGAGGCAATCGGATGGTGCGTTTCCGGAAACGGCTTTTTTTTTTCCTTTGCCGTAAGGTTTTATTATAAGATCTATTTATAGCTGTATATCAAAGAACCACTACGCATATTTTAAAGAAGTAAAGGTCTAGACTTTGATGAAGTGTTCTACTGTATACGATCTAGTTTTGCTGCTAGTTAAAGACTCTTTGCGTATATTTTAAAGTAGAAGTATTGATATTTTAATGAAGTATTGCACAAAAATCGACAATTTTTCGAACTACATAGCAATAAGACCACTACACATTTTTAAAGAAGAAAAGGTCTGGCTTCAATACATAACACTAGACGTATATTTCGATCTATTTTCTAGCTAGATAACGTGAAACAACTTAGATTTTTAAAGTAAAAAATCTCTAGATTCTGACGACGTATATCACTGCAGTGTATTTTGTATGATGTTTACATGCCAGTATTCAAACCGTTTCTTTTTGCTTCATCTCTTCATTACATACCCCCACCCCCAACCCCTCTGTTGATGTCGGAACAAGACAATTTTTTTTTACCGCTGTCAAATGAATCGACGATGTAAAACGTCTCAGATGACAAAACGAAATCCTGCACAGACTCCCCCTTAATGCAGAAATCAAACAGCCTAAAAGCCAAATAAAAGCCTTCTGTTATGTTGTCAGTGTGTGATACATTGTAGCGTTCATGTCACTGTCTGTTTTAGACATTAGCTGTCTGCCCTTTATAAAGTGTTTCGTGTATATATATATATATATATATATATATATATATATATATATATATATATATATATATATATATATATATATATAAAGAGAGAGACAGGGAGAGAGACAGGGAGAAAGACAGACAGACAGACAGACAGACAGACAGACAGACAGTTAGATAGATAGATAGATAGATAGATAGATAGATAGATAGATAGATAGATAGATAGATAGATAGATAGATAGATAGATAGATAGATAGATAGATAGATAGATAGATAGATAGATAGATAGATAGATAGATAGATAGATAGATAGATAGATAGATAGATAGATAGATAGATAGATAGATAGATAGATAGATAGATAGATAGATAGATAGATAGATAGATAGATAGATAGATAGATAGATAGATAGACAGACAGATAGACAGACAGACAGACAGACAGACAGACAGACAGACAGACGGACGGACTGACACAGACAGACAGAAAGAGACATAGATAGAGATACAGATAGAGATATAGAAACACACACTTCTACATTTCAGATATGCAAGCAATGCTGACTTTATGTCAACGGATGATTTGTTACTATTTTTAGAAGCGGAGCAAGGGGTGAGTAGCTGTGTTCCTGTTGGTTAGACGTACCTTTAACGAGCTTTCAACCCAGAACCTAACATGTACCTACCGCTAACCCTTACATTAACGCTAGCCCGAGCTCTTCCAGTATCAACATAAACCTTACAACTACATAGATGGTGATACAACTAGTTGTACAACTAACTCCTGCGATACATTCAGCAACCTCTCCCATACTCTCTTGTTGTATACTCATGCCGTATCTGCGTGGACCCCTTGCCCTTCCAGTTGTTACACACGACATCCTTGTTTCATATCGGTCCCACTTAAAGATCTCCAAACTACCCCCCTTCTACACTTCTTCCATCCGGCTTTATCTATTCTATAATCCCCCCCCCAACCCCCCTTCTCTTTCCTGTCATTTCAATGTCGCCTCAGGACCGATAACCTCGTACGAAAATGTTACAAAATAGACACGCGAAAATTCAGTCTTGAAAATTATTTTTAACTCTCCCCTACTACCCCACACCTTGGACCCCCTCCCTCCTCCACCCCACACCCTGGACCCCCGCCCCCCTCATGTATATGTTTAAAACAAGACATGGGGGTTGGAGGGAGGGGGGGGGCTCAGAAGGCCAATCTGTCAAGCTGCATGATTAGCATCTGATGATCGGGGAAAACTTTCCCAACGGCAAGACATCTGAGTTTATTTTTCTTTTATATATGTATGTAAAGATGTTTGTCGTGTTAGGAAGAGTGCATACGCGGTTAGGAAAAAAAAAATAAACATGCATAACAAATCACGTGCTAAATTGTCAGACCGCCACCTAAATCAGGAAAAAAAGGACGATTTAAATATTTGGATAAATTTTCCTTTTCTGGTTTTTAGTTTGTACATAATAAAATTGTATTTTTTTAAATGGGATATATTTGGAGATGGTTTAAATTAATTTACTACCAAACGAATGGTTTAAATATTTTATTTGACATATCTTTTATCTTTACTGTATATCTTGTGGATTTCACGAAACATATTGAAGTATAAAAGCCCCAATGTTGATCGCGATAAATTGTATCATTGTTTGCGATCAATTATATCACTGTGTTCGCGAAAGCTGTATCATTCTAATCGCGATAATTTGTATCATTCTGTGTGTGATAAGTTGTATCACTGTGTTCGCGAAAGTTGTATCATTCTGATCGCGATAAATTGTACCATTGTTTGCGATAACTTGTATCATTCTAATCGCGATAACTTGTATCATTCTAATCGCGATAAGTTGTATCATTCTAATCGCGATAAGTTGTATCATTCTGTTCGCGATATTTTGTATAATTATGTTCGCATATTATTATTAGCATACGGATGTCCTGAGTCCTACTACATTGTTTCTGCTATTGTCCTACAACCTTTATATTGTATCATATAGCTGTCCTGATGTCCTAAATGACGTGTATTGGCCACGTTCTAATCCCCGTCGTATTGTAACATGTTCCATTCATCTAATGTTCTTTGTTGTCTTTGTGCTACATTAGAATAACTTAAGAACCCCTGGTGTGTTTGCGATGCAAATTTACTCCGCCATTATGTTTTTAGCTTGATCAAAACCCGCTTTGTTTATTAACGTTTGTGTGATATTTAAAATGCATGATTGATGTTAGGAATGTTTGATGTGTAGGATTTTCTGAATGTATCGTCGTAAAACGCAAAAGCTGATTAGAATTAACTCTCTGTATCCTCTAATCTCCGAGAGTCGGTTTCCTCTAAAGAGAATCTCTCTACGTCGATTATAGCCGGGTGTATAAAGAGAAACTGTATGCCAGTTAAGTCACAGACGGTGTAGCTTGTTACTGAGAGTGTTATACATTGTTTGTTGTGTCGTATAGTGTATTTACGGCAGGCTGTTCTGGTGATACTAACATATTTGAGGAAAGTCTCAAGTCAAAACTTCAAGTGTAAAGTCTACAGTGCCGTCAGCACTGTCTGGTCTTGCCTACTGTCAGCTTTTTCCTACAGCACTGTCAGTTCTTGCCTACAGCACTTTGAGGTCTTTCCTCTAGCACTGTCAGGTCTTGCCTATAGCACTCTCAGGTCTTTCCTATAGCACTGTCAGGTCTTGCCTATAGCACTCTCAGGTCTTGCCTATAGCACTCTCAGGTCTTGCCTATAGCACTGTCAGGTCTTGCCTATAGCACTCTCAGGTCTTGCCTATAGCACTCTCAGGTCTTGCCTATAGCACTGTCAGGTCTTGCCTATAGCACTCTCAGGTCTTGCCTATAGCACTGTCAGGTCTTGCCTATAGCACTCTCAGGTCTTGCCTATAGCACTGTCAGGTCTTGCCTACTGTCAGCTATTGCCTACAGCCCTGTCAGGTATTTCCTATAGCACTGGCATGTATTGCCTACTGTCAGGTATTTCCTACTGTCAGGTATTGCCTACTGTCAGGTATTTCCTACTGTCAGGTATTTCCTACTGTCAGGTATTGCCTACTGTCAGGTATTTCCTACTGTCACGTATTGCCTACTGTCAGGTATTTCCTACTGTCAGGTATTGCCTACTGTCAGGTATTTCCTACTGTCAGGTATTGCCTACTGTCAGATATTTCCTACTCTCATGTATTGCCTACTGTCAGGTATTTCCTACTGTCAGGTATTTCCTACTGTCAGGTATTGCCTACTGTCAGGTATTTCCTACTGTCAGGTATTTCCTACTGTCAGGTATTGCCTACTGTCAGGTATTTCCTACTGTCAGGTATTTCCTACTCTCATGTATTGCCTACTGTCAGGTATTTCCTACTCTCATGTATTGCCTACTGTCAGGTATTTCCTACTGTCAGGTATTTCCTACTGTCAGGTATTGCCTACTGTCAGGTATTGCCTACTGTCAGGTATTTCCTACTGTCACGTATTGCCTACTGTCAGGTATTTCCTACTGTCAGGTATTGCCTACTGTCAGGTATTTCCTACTGTCAGGTATTGCCTACTGTCAGGTATTTCCTACTCTCATGTATTGCCTACTGTCAGGTATTTCCTACTGTCAGGTATTTCCTGCTGTCAGGTATTGCCTACTGTCAGGTATTTCCTACTGTCAGGTATTGCCTACTGTCAGGTATTTCCTACTGTCAGGTATTTCCTACTCTCATGTATTGCCTACTGTCAGGTATTTCCTACTCTCATGTATTGCCTACTGTCAGGTATTTCCTACTGTCAGGTATTTCCTACTGTCAGATATTTCCTACTGTCAGGTATTGCCTACTGTCAGGTATTTCCTACTGTCAGGTATTTCCTACTGTCAGGTATTTCCTACTGTCAGGTATTTCTTACTGTCATGTATTGCCTACTGTCAGGTATTTCCTACTGTCAGGTATTTCCTACTGTCAGGTATTTCCTACTGTCAGGTATTTCCTACTCTCATGTATTGCCTACTGTCAGGTATTTCCTACTGTCAGGTATTTCCTACTCTCATGTATTGCCTACTGTCAGGTATTTCCTACTGTCAGGTATTTCCTACTGTCAGGTATTTCCTACTTTCAGGTCTTGCCTAATGTCAGCTGCCTACTGTCAGGTCTTGCCTACTGTCAGGTATTTCCTACTGTCAGGTATTTCCTACTGTCAGGTATTTCCTACTCTCATGTATTGCCTACTGTCAGGTATTTCCTACTGTCAGGTATTTCCTACTGTCAGATATTTCCTACTGTCAGGTATTGCCTACTGTCAGGTATTTCCTACTGTCAGGTATTTCCTACTGTCAGGTATTGCCTACTGTCAGGTATTTCCTACTGTCATGTATTGCCTACTGTCAGGTATTTCCTACTGTCAGGTATTTCCTACTCTCATGTATTGCCTACTGTCAGGTATTTCCTGCTGTCAGGTATTTCCTACTGTCAGGTATTGCCTACTGTCAGGTATTTCCTACTGTCAGGTATTGCCTACTGTCAGGTATTTCCTACTGTCAGGTATTTCCTACTGTCAGGTATTGCCTACTGTCAGGTATTGCCTACTGTCAGGTATTTCCTACTGTCAGGTATTTCCTACTGTCAGGTATTTCCTACTGTCAGGTCTTGCCTACTGTCAGGTATTTCCTACTGTCAGGTCTTGCCTACTGTCAGGTCTTGCCTAATGTCAGCTGCCTACTGTCAGGTCTTGCCTACTGTCAGGTATTTCCTACTGTCAGGTATTGCCTAATGTCAGGTCTTGCCTAATGTCAGCTGCCTACTGTCAGGTCTTGCCTACTGTCAGGTATTTCCTACTGTCAGGTATTGCCTACTATCAGGTCTTGCCTAATGTCAGCTGCCTACTGTCAGGTCTTGCCTACTGTCAGGTATTTCCTACTGTCAGGTCTTGCCTACTGTCAGGTATTTCCTACTGTCAGGTATTGCCTACTGTCAGGTATTGCCTACTGTCAGGTCTTGCCTACTGTCTGGTCTTGCCTAATGTCAGCTGCCTACTGTCAGGTCTTGCCTACTGTCAGGTCTTGCCTACTGTCAGGTCTTGCCTACTGTCAGGTCTTGCCTACTGTCAGGTATTTCCTACTGTCAGGTATTTCCTACTGTCAGGTATTTCCTACTGTCAGGTCTTGCCTAATGTCAGCTGCCTACTGTCAGGCCTTGCCTAATGTCAGCTGCCTACTGTCAGGTCTTGCCTAATGTCAGCTGCCTACTGTCAGGTCTTGCCTACTGTCAGGCCTTGCCTAATGTCAGCTGCCTACTGTCAGGTCTTGCCTAATGTCAGCTGCCTACTGTCAGGTCTTGCCTACTGTCAGGTCTTGCCTACTGTCAGGCCTTGCCTAATGTCAGCTGCCTACTGTCAGGTCTTGCCTAATGTCAGCTTGCCTACTGTCAGGTCTTGCCCATGACACTATCAGATCTCTCCTACTGCCACATTACTGCTGTACTTGAAGTACCGTATGGGTCTGGCCAGTGAGATAACGAGGTGAGTGACCGGCCATTGTGTGCTCAGGTGTATTTAGTCCCGGGGTAAACCGATTATGTTCCTGCATCCCCCGGGAGTATTAACCAGTACAGAAATAGACCTCC